ATTCCTCACTGAAACTTCTGGAGTGAGTTTGCTGCACTGAAATGTAAGGGGCCAAAATAATGATTGCCGCCCCACTTTTCAGTTTTTTATGGTTAAAAAGTTTAAATCCATCCAATAAATTTTGTTCCAACTTCACGATTGTGTATTACTGGTTGTTGATTCATACAAATAAAATTAAATATTGATATATTTAATGTGTGAAGCCTGAATTGTGGCGATAATGTTGAAATTTCAAGGGGCCGAATACTGTCGCAAGACACTTATATTCTAAAATCTGCCACAATATACCTGTGCCAGCCAATACAGCCTCCTTGTCCCCAAGGGATAACGTGTGCTGCTATATAGAAACCCGAAGGCATTTTAGATAGATATTGACTACCCCAATGTGGCCCACAAAAGAGACAGTAATTTCAACACACGCTCAAACATAAAGTAGCATTACTGTACACAAAGTACAATAAACAATTACAATGAAATTGCACACGATATAGATCCCTATACTTCTAACTAAAGTCATAAGCTATAATATTAACTATAAAAGCAAACTAATGACTAAAACTCCAATATTGATCATACACTGCTTATTAACACTAATTATCTATAATACAAACGCTAAGCTAATAAAATTTTCCTAAATGCTACATGTAAAGCAAACCTGACAAAACGATGAAAAAAAACGGGGCGTGAACATGACTGGGCCGTATATATACCTCAGGACGTCAGCCTTCACTGCAGACGTCAGCCTTCCGCGGCGGCTCCAATGTTGGCGCCAGATCTACGTTCCAATGTAGTTAACTATAAGTCGCATGAGATGAACCCTCACTGACGGTTGTAGGCAGAAAAGTTGATCTTTCAACTAATTTGCACTAAAGTGATAAATTATGACCGGATAGGTATACAACACTATTGGACACGCATTTTATACTGTTTATCAGATTTGAGGGTGGAGTTGTCCTTTAAGTAATGTATATATTTATTATTTGTGCGACATATCTGCTGTGTCTTTATATCGTAGCAAATCACAAAGGCTATAATGTGTGCCTTAAAGGGCAAAATCGGTTCTATAGTGTCTACTTTGTGTAATATAAGCATCATTGACAATGGGGAATTACCTGTCAGTGATTTACCTCATTGCCATAATTATCTTCATTATGTTCATTTCATGTTATTTCAAGCAGTAAAGAAAGTGAATTCGGCGTGGAACCTAAATTATACAGGGTTTTAAAAAGTATAGTGTAACCTTCAGCAAAGAGGTGCATTGCAGGGGAAAAAAAAAACTTAATGAAAGGGCTTTTCTCTCTTAATCCATACATGTGAAATGTAATTTATTCTAATTATTACATTCAATGAAAGACCTAAAACAGGAATTGTAAATAGTTACATCTGTGTATTACATTGTTATTCCCATAATATGATAGGATCAGGGGTCTCCAACCTTTAGCTGGGAGCACCCTGTAGCTCGACTCCCTCCTTACAGGTGCGTTGCCAAAGAAATCTAGACTTTTAAACAAATACACTTTAAACAAATACACTTTTTGATCCATTACATAATATATTTATAAGTATTATTATTGGGTTATACAGTAATATGGTGTATTTTAGAAGGGTTTCTCCATGTTGAGTGAATTATTAGATCCATTTTCAGTTTGACTGCAAAAAATGAGTAGCTCTTGCCTGTTTGGTTTGATTAAAGTAGCCTTCTCTGATTAAAAAGGTTGGAGACCCCTGGTGATTAGATGGTTTTAATAAAGGTTTGTGTACAATCAGAACCATACATAAAGGCATAGAGTTATGTTTTCTTCTCTTATACTTGCCTGATGAGTCACTAATTGACCAAGTTGGACTGACAGCTAATTTTAACAGTGAAGGTGGTCCTTTTTTGATACTCTTGGAGCTGATCGAAAGATGTGACAGAGCCAGACATACATGTGAAAACTAGTGCTAAAAAACCGTACTGTTTTGATACGGACAATGCAGTTTAGTTCTCATTTTACTTTTTTTTTTTTTTATTCATCAAAATATGTACCATGAGATATGGTGTTTTTGGGGGGAAATATACAATTTCCAATCCGAATTACTTATATTATAAATACCAAATCAGTATTACCACAAATCTACATATTTTCTAAACCCTTTGGATTAAAGCAGGTTTATTTTTACTTGTTTTAAAAAAATATGCATCTTTAAGGTGTATTCTGGAACTCTTGAATTTATTATACATTTTTAAGTATTGCTAATAAATTGACTACAGCCCTAAATGTTATTTTACGAATTATTAAATATTAAAGGTTTACCTTCTCTTTGCTATTAGCCAAAATCACGAGGGTCCACTTTGACCATTCAAGTGATGTCAAGGGCGGCATTATCGCTTATTATCATTAAATATTCAAATATTTGATTTATTAATCTTTATTGTCTGAATGCATTGTGCAATTGTTCTTTGTTTATGTATGTGGAGGTGTGATCTTCTTTCTAATAAAAGCCAGAGTGTTCAAAGAATTAGATGGGAGATTGGGCTTTGAAACAGGCGCAGGGCAGTCATCTGCTCTCGCTGCAGTTTTGCTAATAAAAACTAAGCTTTTGTCTGATTGTGTACTTGTACCACAGGAAAACTTAGAATCAGCATCCCATTCAAAAATTAATAATTTTTGATATTTACGTCACTCAGAATATACTTTTTTTGATCAAAGCCAAAACTCATTTGGCATTTCCGCCATGATTGTTTCTTGTGAGATTTCGAATTCCCACACCTCGGAGAGATTCGCTCTGAAAAGAAATAGTTCAAGGAAACTTCTAGGTCCGTTAGTAGGAACACGTTGCAGGATGATTTTTCTTAATTTTTTGTCTGTGGCTAGGAGAAATACTGGGCCCACCCATCTCCCCCTTTTTTTGTCATGCATGCATAGTGGAATGACCCATTTACTAAGTGGGAGTCTAAATTTGTTGGGCGTTTTTTTACTGCGTTGAGATGTCTGCGGAAACTGAGTTGTGTAAGAACCTATTTCCATGTGATAGCTGTATCTCTGAGCGTATCTCACATGCCAAGATTTATTGCACGCAGGAAATGAGGATCGATTGTCACCCCATGGAATTTCGTCAGAGTTATGTTTCTTTTTGGGAATGTCAAGAGATTTACATACATTGAGGATCAGCGTTGTCATTAATTCCCTCTTTGTGTCGGCCATGAAATGATGGGTTGATTTGTCTTTATCATTTTTTCCTTTTCTTTTTATTGTACGTTTTACATTTTGTTTATTATTCCTTTTTTCGTTGTTATTGAACAATAAAAAAAAAATAGACTTCACAAAAACATTTACATTTATGTTTTTCTAGTGGTCAGTTGGGCTCCTTTTTTTTGTTTGGACTATGGATTGCGGATAACAGATACAAACTAGCTTTATTTTATATTGATGTGCATTAATATGCATTGTCCCCATCCTATAAACAAAAAACACTATTCTGCAAGTATGCAAATGATCATGTTTTCTCAAAAGATTTTGACAGTATGTTGTGGTCTTGTTGGTTCACAGCAGTATTCCTTTTTTATCTCAAGTCAGGTACTGATGATTTTTTTGGACTGTGTGTAGCATGCAGTCCCCACAATGTATAAAAACACAATCCTAATACACACATATACCTGTAACCAGTCCACCTTGAGACCGCTGGTACTGTATTTCTCTCTCATGATACACATTAGATGAAAAGCGAATTCGAGAGAAAGCGGCACAGACAGCCACGACAGCTTTGCGACTCTCCTCGAGTTGCTGCAACTCAATCTCCGCTTCAGACTGCTGCACCTCCACCACCGTGGGTGGGGCTGTTGGCGGGAGCGCACACATTGTTTCCTGGCTAGCTGTTATGAAGCAGTAATCTATGGTGGTCTGTCTGTCCCTAGTGTGTGAACGCAGACACACTAAACATGTGTAACAGGCTTGGCAATGAAGGCCACTGTGCTTTTATGCTGCTGTTGTTTCATGCAGAGTACGCAATTGGCCCTAAGGAGACTTTGAGTTTTGTTAGGGCTCATTTTGAGAAGATCAAAAACATCTTGTTGTGCCACAAGACAAAAAACAATAAACATCTGTTTGGCGGATTTCAAACACATATGAGTGAGAAACAACACAACATAGAATGCCATACATGTATTTACCTAGCTCCTTCCATTAACAATGTTTGTTCTATCACTAGTTTTCACTACATTTGTATTTATGGCCATGTCACTTCATTAGATCACTATTTTCTATATAATTGAAAAAACTTGCTATGCCTTCATCGATCCTGACTCCTGACGTGCATAAAAATCTGAGGTCAATGCGATTCTATGGTGCGAACGGGGTCGTGATGAATGAGCTGCTTTTGGTGTTGCGCAGGGATAGGAGCAGCAGAGATGCGCGGTAATGAGTGGCCACATGGGTGAGTTACAATCTGATATAGAAGTACTCAAACACACAATCGGTGAACTAATCTGACTTTGCAGCAGAAGTGCGCAACGAGATTTACTGATCTAAAAGTATTCGTTGCCGATTTGTCCGCGTTTCTGACATCTGCGGGCCGGAGATGGAGACTCCGGCGCTTCCAGAGACCCGCGGCCAATGCCCGCGGCCCTTTGCTGGGATTTCAAAAACAGTGAAACCTAGTTCAAAATAACATGAAAACATGTGCTATCTTAGCCAGTAATGGCAGAAGTGTGGCAAAAGCATGGGCAAAAATGATTTTGTTAAGTACCATATAGCTGACGCAGCTGCGTAATTTCCATAGCAACGCTGAGTATATATATATATAGGTGCCAGGCGACAGGACTTCACTCTGACTTTGACGAGCCAGGGATTGTAGCACTCCGAGCTTCGAGCAGGTGCGACTACTTTCATTACGTTTTACATCAACAACATTGATCCAAGCTTAGTAGGACAGTCTCTATCATACAATAAACTCTGTTTTGTTGATTATTTTACACTTTTCCAGATTTTCAAGACTAGCAAGCGTTTCAATCAATCATCGATATGGACAACCATCTGGGCCAAGGTAAAATATGTTAACATATATGAATTTTCATATTTCACAAACATCAGAAGTGTATGGGAAGAGTGGACATGTTCACATCATTTAGATGACTAATTGGGAAGACAATGTTTCTTTGCTTTTAACTATGTGTTCTAAATTGTGGTAGCATTAGACATTTCAGACGACGAATTAAGGATGAATTAAATGCGAAAACTTGGATAAAGTGACATAAATCTGTAGCTTATGATGCGAACAAACCATTTTTTGAGACATATTCATGAAAACAATAGTATTTATTTCATGGTTTGTTGAAGTCCATAACTTTCTGCTGCGTTTCTGGAAAACAAAATGGCGCCCGTCCAAAAAGGAATGTTTATTTTTGGTTGCTTGGTAACCAACTTTCTATGGCACTTAAATATGCTGGTCCCAGACTGGTCCTGGACTGGTTCTGGTTCTGAGCAGAGTCAGCTTGGTTTTCCACAGAAGGGCGCTTGTTCAACACATTGTTTACTGTCAACAGTTAGCGTTTGGCTTTTATCAAACTGTTTCAGCTGTATTTCTAGTTTTATTCTCCAGTTTTAGCACTTAATAAAGTGAGTATAGTTAAAAAAAAGAAAGTATAAATTACATTTTGGAGTTTGGGAATTCTGGTAAAGCCTGTGGTTAATGACCCATTACCGTATTATGGTACAGGTGTGCTCACTAACATGCATATTGACTGTGCCAGTCAAACAGACAAACCTTCTGCCCCTCATCCATTTATTACCCTTCAAAAATGAATGCTTGTTCTGTCTTAGGAGACCACCGCCGCACTCCGACCCACGCTGGAGATGGAGACCACTCATCTTCTTTACGTAAGTTCCTCTTTCACTCATTCCTGTGTTTCTGCTTAATGGTTGTTGTTGATACTGTAGTTAACACAATGCAAGTTGACCCCCGTTCGTGCCTTTGAATTATTTCTGAATTTCTCCTTCGGGGATCAATAAAGTATCTATCTATCTATTCAGGGTAGAGATATGTCAAACATTTTTTACAATATTGTTAACATTCCGATGCCAAGTATCAATAGCTTTTTTATTTCTGTAACACAGAAATTACAACCGGTTCAATCTGAAGAGACCAAAGACACAATTAATACAATAAAATTATTTATTTGTTTGGCGCATTGACCCCGGCAGTGACACTTGCAGCAATGAGATCGATTGCAGCTGAAGATGATCTCAGATCCCCCGGGGTCAATCACTGGTGGTGGCTAGAGTATGGTGTGAATGGGGCGTAGGCGGAGCAGGAGCCGGAGCGGGAGCCTAGAGCGGGAGCCAGAGCGGGAGCCAAGAGCCAGAGGGGGTGCTGGGGAGGTGGTGGGTGTTTAAGAGCCGGGTGGGTGGGTGTTTAAGGGTGTTGCTTCTCAGGAAGTGGCTGCCTTTTAAACTGCCCGCTTTTCTGTGAGAGGGTTGGCAGGAGGCTGGCCTGGCTGTGTGATTGGCTGAGGCTCGAGGCTGGCCTGGCTGTGTGATTGGCTGAGGCTCGAGGCTGGCAGGCACTCGGTCTTTCAGTCTGAACCTGCGCATTCAGCTTCATTTGTGCTTCTTGTGGAAACGTTTTCCTCTGGAATTGAATCTGCCAGGGTTTGTTTTTGTCCCGTCTACAGTTACCTCATTGTCTGCATATGCATGACATCCTTTAATTATGAGTACCTTAATTTGAGTACTTGCAAATACAGATACGAGTACTTCATTGTGTCATCTCTGGGGATTCACAAAACTAATACAACTGAAATTTAAAATGTTTTATTTCTCATTTCAACAATAAGAAAATGCTTCAACAATTAAACATATTAACAATTTTTTTAACAGTCAACAAAAAGACTGTCTTTGTCATATTACACTCATACAGTCACTGTTTTGCAGTCCGCTTTACTCTTTTACGTTACGCGTTACTCGTTTACTTTAAAACACTGCCATACGGCCGACATCCTGTCCGCTTGCCGCTGGCTTGCCTTCTCGCTGTCAAATTTTGAAGATCATCTTGCAACACGTGTGGCACAGCTGTCCGCTGTCGTGACGCTAAAGCCTGGTTCACACGAGACGATTTTAAAATTGTCGGCCGATTTAAAAAATAAATAAATAATTCTCCGTGTGAGACACACACGGAGATAAAAAATCACGGGTCTAACCACTTTGGTCGTACAGTGTGTGGTGTACAGCCACACGGCAAAATCACGCAAACAACACACATCACACAAGAACCGATTTCACCCCCGAGCATTCAGTCAGACGGAAATCTCACAACATCTCTCGAGATCCAACAGAGTAAACAGAGTGTGCGGGCCTCTCCGCTTCACGCAGCCTATAGAGACTCTCGTCTGACCACAGCAGCCACAGACACCATGAGGACAAACACATACATGTGGATTTTACTGCTCTACAGTTCTCTGGCCCGTACTGTCTGTGCTGTTCAACAATACAGTTTGTACGGACTACCTGTGAATGCACCACACACACTGCTAGACATGAAACTTAACATACGCACAAACCAACAAGCACGGCTGCAGTAACAGCTGCATCAACATGTCTGTACTGTATTAGGACAGAGTGCAAAGTAAACGTACAAACACAACCCATCAGTGATCATTTAGTGTACTAATCCCGTCCGAATAGGGCTTATGCCAACACTACCTGTGCAGCAGCTATTTCTGCCCAATTCCTCTCCTTGTCATTTCGGTGATGATATTCTTTACACGACACGTCACATACATTCACGGTGTTGCCTTAGGTCAACTAGTTGTTCCTCCATCTCTGATGTCCACTGAACTTTCTGGTGCGCCATGCCGCTGACTGGTTTGGTTTTTTTACGGCGTTTCCTCACCGGCTCGTCTCGTCTTCTGATTGGCTACACGCCGCAGTCATGGCAACGCGCTCGTGTGTCCCCGGGGGACACCACACACGAAGAGAAATCGGGCCAAAACAATCCAACATGTTGGATATCCCCGATTTGAGATCGGAGCAGTCCCGAAGTCCTTCCGAGCGACGAGCGCAGTCTTAACACACCACACACGGCAGGAGAATCCATTAGATTTTTTGTTACGATATTCGGAGCGTTCTTACGATTGTCGTAGGGGTAAATCGGATCCAAAATCGGCCTAAATATCCTGCCGTGTGAACCAGGCTTAATGTAAATTGAAAATGTGGGTATCAGTTGCCAGCATCGGGTCCTATCGGCCCGATACCGTATCGACGCAGTCCTACTTTAAGTTATTTTTAAGATGTTCGTTTGAAGCGCCCAACATTGTTCCCATCCCTTAAAACTGTGCTGTTTGCATGATGGCGTGGGACTTGTCAGAATATTGCCGTCTGGTTTTGTGGGGGCAATATTCCTTCGATTTTGTCTCTTTATAATAATCTTTATCAAAAACAAATTTTCCTCACTCTAGATATTAGATCTGTTCTCATGAAAACTCTGACCTTGTGGCTCAGAGCCCTGCGAAGGAGCTTGGTGGCACATGGGTAGGGCTGTCGGAATTAACAATATTAACGGCTTATTAAACGAGCGCGAGGTCTGTACAGAGAAATATCAGACCGCGGCCTTTTTGTACAGACCGAGCCGTGGCGAGTCTGTGCAAAAAGACCAAGGTCTGATATTTCTCTGTACAGACCGAGCAAGCGAGATTAATAAATGTTTTATTATATGACTATTTTTAATTTATGGAAATATCTATCTCTGACTTGGTTTTCCTAATCGTGTTTTTAGCTTTCTGATCTGTAATGAAGTTGTCAGTCTCTTCTTGACTGTTAGGAGTTGTATTTTCGTCGTTATTTGCTGTTATTACTTCCTCTGGCTCTTCGAAGTCGTCACTCTTTCTTTTTTTACCGAGGAAAGATATCAAATTTGATAAGCGCTGCGGACCAATTGTCATAGTAAGGGTCCGAGATGGGAAAATATCAGACCGCAAATCAACCAATCAGAGCACGCGTACGATCCAAGTCATATAATAAATTGTGTTATCATGCGGTAACTAAAAATGAGGTCAGTAAGTCTGATGGCTTCGATAAGTTCCATTTGTTTGTTCGCTCTTTGTCATCAGCCTACCTACCTGATAACGCATTGTCTCCAAGTGTGTTGAGCAAGAGCCAATCAGAGGCATGTAATGTGTGTGCACACCACTAGGAGCAAGCATGGATGTATTATTGCATGTACTAGAACGAGATTTCTGCATGCTCTGTTGCCAAAGCGTTCTGATCCCGGAGCACTGCTGCCGCTTTGTAGTGAATGACAGCAGTTCCCACCTCCAGCGGCTGTGAACCTGACTATAAGATTCATTGTTGCAACCTAAATGTTGTGTAACCTGTGTCCATGTCTCCCCCCTCCTCCTGAAGCACTGAAGCTAAAACTCACCAAATTAAAGCTGGGGTACCTACATTTTCCCTTGCATTAATAATGCATGTTGGTAACTTGTGCCCAAAAGTAAAAAATAATCTACACACAAGTTTTCTCACTTAGCTTTAATTCAGACTCTTAGCCCATATTCCAGACACACTGAAAACAAACTTTGTTAGCAAAGTTACTTCCCCTTTTTACAAAAAAATAAATTATAGAAAATCTTTCAAATTCCGATGTGACAGACAGCACTTTAAAGCACCAAAATAAATGATTTTTATTTGAAATAAATGCTCTATTTATATGTCTGTTCCATAAAAAATACAATTGTTGGCAAATATTTCAGACGTTTGGGAAAATTATTAAGATAATGTTGAATATTTCAAGCTTCCAAAGGTAATTATTTTCCTGTTTTGTCAAAAATGCTATACTCAAAAGGGGGTGCTTTGCGTGTATTTAAAAAAAAATAGTCCCATTACTTCTAACAACGTTCAAACAAGAAATGGTGCAAACTGGCCGACAGCGTGGTTTTCATAATTGCCAAGGTAATGCTGCTGCTTTATACCGATGAACATATGCATTTCGAAAAATGTTCCTCATATTTGACCCTCAGTATGAGTTGCCTGGGAGAATCTTTTTGTCCCAAAAAAGGCAGTCCTAGAGGTATACAATACCATTAAATACAAAATAAACAGGGAGCTCAAAGAGTCAATGGTTGCTTTTTATTAATTTGGTTTTCTAGGAGTATTTATGGTTAACTGGGACTGAATTTGTTAAAATGTTTTCCAGTTCCAGAACATTGTTAAATGTTTTAAGAATTATTGATCTTCCAAATGGTCAATTTGCCGTTTTTATGCCGTTTGGCAGTGCAAAAAGCCTCCAAAGGACAATTTTAAAATTAATGACATTATTGGCGTTTATTGGAAAAAATCTGGGCCATTTAATCGAAAATGTGTTATTGTGACAGTCGTACACATGGACAGAGGGCTCAGCGAAACAACGGTGTCTTGGATATTAGGATTTAAATATTTCAAACATGTATGAATGATGCTAAAAACAACAAATATTTGACTTGATTTTATTTCTTTTCTAGGTCACCGTGTAGCCCCCCGGGCTTTTGAAGATTGGGAACATCTCCACCTCCCTCCCCAGGGTTTCTTTGCCCCGCAGGTGGTCTTCCCTCCCCAGGGTTTCTTTGCCCCGCAGGTGGTCTTCCCTCCCCAGGGTTTCTTTGTCCCGCAGGTGGTCATCCCTCCCCAGGGTTTCTTTGCCCTGCAGGTAGACGACCCTCCCCAGGGTTTCTTTGCCCCGCAGGTGGTGATCCCTCCCCAGGGTTTCTTTGCCCTGCAGGTGGACGACCCCCCCCAGGGTTTCTTTCCCCCGCAGGTGGACGACCCCCCCCAGGGTTTCCATCCCCCGCAGGAGGAGGACCCTCCCCAGGGTTTCCATCCCCCGCAGGTGGATTACCCTCCCCAGGGTTTCCATCCCCCGCAGGTGGACAACCCTCCTCAGGGTTTCTATCTCCAGCAGGTGGATTACCCTCCCCAGGGTTTCTATCTCCAGCAGGTGGATTACCCTCCCCAGGGTTTCTATCTCCAGCCGGTGGATTACCCTCCCCAGGGTTTCTTTCCCCCGCAGGCGGAACTCCCTCCGCAGGTGGATCTCCCTCCGCAGGTGGATCTCCCTCCGCAGGCTCCCTCCGCAGGCGGTTCTCCCTCCGCAGGCGGTTCTCCCTCCGCAGGCGGTTCTCCCTCCGCAGGCGGTTCTCCCTCCACAGGTGGATCTCCCTCCGCAGGTGGACCTCCCTCCGCAGGTGGACCTCCATCCGCAGGTGGACCTCCCTCCGCAGGTGGATCTCCCTCCGCAGGTGGACCTCCCTCCGCAGGTGGACCTCCCTCCGCAGGTGGATCTCCCTCCGCAGGTGGATCTCCCTCCGCAGGTGGACCTCCCTCCGCAGGTGGATCTCCCTCCGCAGGTGGATCTCCCTCCGCAGGTGGACCTTGCGGATCCTCCTACTGCAGCCGGCCCTTCCCCTCCTGTTTCTCCTTTTCTTTCCTCCCCCTCACGTCCTGCCTCTCCCTTTTCTCCCTCTACGCCTTCCTCGTCTTCTTTTTCTGCCTCTGATTTCCAGAGCCTTGAGGAGTTCCTGGACATTTTTGTGCAGACTCTGGATCCAGCTCCTGCCTCCCCCACTGTTGCTCCTATTCAGGTCCGTCCAATCATTGGTGCATATGTCCCCTCTCCTCCTGGCAGTGCTCCTTCTTCTCCCCTTCTTGCCTCCCCCTCACACTCTTCCTCTCCAGGTCCAGAGGATTTATTTTAGGTCCAGATCTTCCTGTTTCAGATTTACCTGACCCAGGTTGCTCTTCAGATTTTAACACTGCTTCTCCCACTCCCTCTTCTTCCCACAAACGTAGCAGGTCCGAGTGCTCCCCCGAGAACAACTCCAAGAGGCAGCGCCGCTCGTCTCCTGCTCCCTCTTCTTCCTCCCGCTCCCCTTCCTTGTGACCCTCCCTTCCCCCTCTCCACTCTTCCCTCCCCTTCTACTCTCCCTCCACTTCTCCTCCCTTCCCCACTCTTCCCTCCCCTTCTCCTCTCCCTCCACTTCTCCTCCCTTCCCCACTTTTCCCTCCCCTTCTCCACCGGCTCCAGAAAGGGCCATGTGGCTGCAGGTTTTACTTCCAACAGTTCCAAACTGAGCAGGAGCACAGATGACTCCACCCATTTCCTCAGGTGAGTCCAGTTTTAACCTGAAGATTTGAGGAAATGGGTGGAGTCATCTGTGCTCCTGCTCAGTTAGGAACTGTTGGAAGTAAAACCTGCAGCCACATGGCCCTTTCTGGAACCGGTTTGAGACCCCTGTCCTAACCCCATCCCTGCCCTCGTAATCCCCTGATCCTTCTTCCACACTTCCTAATCAGATCCAGTTCCAGAGGACCCACTTTTTACAGTCCTCCCTCTCCTTCTTCCTCTTCCTGTTTCTCCCTCTCAGGTATTTCAACAGCACGAGTAGACCCAGACTCTGGAAGGACAAACATCAGTGTCCAGAGCAGTAAAGGAGTCTACCTGACCTGTGGCAGCTGCCATTATTACTGCCACTGGCATTTTCAGTGGCAACTATAGGTGCCACAAAAAAAGATTCCCTTCTTGTCCCGACAGACATCAATGTCTAGAGCAGTGACACTGGAATCTGCCACAATCTCTGCCGCTGGCAAACTTGAGTGGCCTTTTCTGTGGCAGCTAGAAGTTTAGTGGCATTTTTAGTTGCAGCTAGTATTTAATTGGCATTTATCAGCCACGTCTTGAGCAGAGAGCATTTTGACCTTCTTGGTTTTCCAGCTGCACAGAGAACAACCAGGGCACCACTACCTGCCCTGGGGAACAGCTTATACAGTATCTCCAAAATGTATAGCTGCCATTGAAAATGCCACTAAACTTCGAGCTGCCACTGAAAATGCCAGTGGCAGAAATTGCCGCAGCCTTTTATCCAGCTCCCACAGAAGGAACAGAGCAGACCCAGGTGAACTCTGGAGGACGGACATCAATGTCGAGAGCAGACTCAGGTGAGCTATGGAGGTCAGACGTCGCATGTTCTTTAACAATCTGTTCTCTCAACATTAAATTGTATTTGTGCAGAAGAGAGGTGCCTGCTGAAGCGCATTGAGTGCAGAGAAGTGTGTCGCAGAGCAACAGATGCTGGATCACACGTGTCAGAGCTCACTGGACATTCAGGACAAGTGGGTACAGCACACACGACCTGACCTGATAAGATGAGAGGAGGTGAATGGAGGAGCACTGCATGTAAGGGTGGTCTATGTATAGATATGTGTATAAAGTGAGGCAAAAACATATTTGTTAGTTACTGACAGTTGTTCCTAGTTCAACTGAATCAATTAATTTGGTGAAGAAAATAAATCTTCTGTTCCCCATGTATCTGTTCTCTGCCTAATCCCTGTCTCCCTCTTGTGTCTTGCAGGATTGGTGTTTTGCTGGTGGGATATATCTGAGCAGTTACACCTGACTCACAGGTCTCACAGACAGATTGTTCCGTCTTAACAGAGGTACAGCCCTATCTTTAGCTTGAATCTTGTGAAACTTCAAACTTTAGAGCAGAGACTACTTCCTTTGTAAACTCAGCAGAGAGAGCATCTTGACAATCAGGGCACCACCACCTGCCCTTGGGGACATTCATGTGAAAATGCCTTTAAGCTTCTTGCTGCCCCTGGAAATAAAACAAAAACTTCTAGCTGCCACTGAAAATGCCAGTGGCAGAAATTGTGGCTGCAGCTGACGGTGCCACAAAAAGAGTGTGCCTTCTCTCATCCAGTACAGACTCAGGTGAACTTAGGAGGACCGACATAACATGTTCTTTAAAAATCTGTTTTCTCAAAACTACATTTTATTTGTGCAGATGCATAGAGGTGCTTGTAGAAGCGCATTGAGTGCAGAGCTCACTGGACATCAGGACCAGGGAGACAGCACACAGGACCTGACCAAGATAAGAGGTTACTGGAGCAGCCATGCAGGTAAGGGTGGTCTGTGGATGTATATATTTGTATATATAATGTGGGGCAAAACATATTTGTCAGTTACTGACAGTTGTCCCACAACTTCTTATTTCAACTTCAACTGAATCAATTCATTAGTATAGTAGTGCAGAAAATAAATGTTCTGTTCCCCACGTGTGTCTATTCCCTGGTCTCTTAGTCCCCCGCTTGTGTCTTGCAGGATTGGTGTTTTGCTGATGAGATCTCTGAGCAGTTACACCTGACTCCTACGATCAAGGTCTCACTGCCAGATTGTTCCGTCTTCTCAGTGGTACAGACCTATCATTAGCAAGAATCTAGTGAAACTTCAAACTTTAGGATGTGTAGCATTTTGTGCCTTGTGATTCATTCATATGTTCTTTTTTTCCCAGACGACCTGTCTGCTCCAGAGACCCACCAGCCAAGTCAAGCGCATCCTCGCCCATCTCCTTCCTGTGGTCAGCCCCACCCTGGACCCGCTGCAGTGCGCCTACAGGCCCAACATCGGAGTAGAGGATGCTTGACTTCTCTAGTGCTTTCAACACCATCAGTCCGGCACTGCTGCGAGGGAAGATGGAGGACGCAGGAGTGCACTGTCACCTCACTGCATGGTCCGGCTGCGCAGCCGCACGTACGACACACAGAGCTGCAAACCTGCAGATGTTCTCTGACGCCTGGTGGGCAGAACCTGGGTGTTCACATGAACAATAAACTGGATTGGTCCCATAACGCCAACGCCCTGTACAAGAAGGGTCAAAGTCGCTGCCCCCTTCTGAGGAGGCTGTATAGAGAGCAGGCCTCTGCACAGGACTTTGCATGACTCTGTGGTAGACTATCCACTACGCTGCCGTGTGCTGGGCCCCGGGCAGCACAGAGTGCGACAGGAACTGACTTGACAAGCTGGTCAGGAGGGCCAGTTCTGGGCTGTCCACTATACTCTGTGGAGGAGGTGAGGGACTGGAGGATGCTAGCCAAAGTCACCTCCATCATGGTCACCTCCTCCACCCACTTCACAGGACTGTAGAGCTCTTTCAGTGGAAGACTAAGGCACCCTGAGTGATTCTATCGATGCCTATCATATCTTAATAAAGGTTTTTCCTTTTTCCTAACCTGCTTGCAGTGTCTGCTTTGGGGTCCTTTTACAAATCTTTTTTTCAGACTCAAATTGAATTGGTCCATATTCTGAAAGAATACAATATATACAGTCAGTCCAAACAGGTGTATAGGTGGAGGAGGTGCTTTCTCAGAGCAGAGGTGTGGTGCCATGACTAATTTTTAACTCATGACATGACTAACGCAGCCACTGTGTTTATTTTAGTTTAATCAAACTTTGATTTGGTAACTACAAACACATAATGAATTACAGTTTGATTACATGCAGAAAAGAAACTGGTAATAATGTGGGTAACAAACAAAATCACTTTCATAGCTTGTTAATTACAGTGCACTTTTCTAGAAGTACATTGACCATAACTGTATATATTAACATTTGACTCATTTTAGTGAATTTAGTGTTTTGAGGTAACGACACTCAAGGATCCATCTCTTTTATTGGTTTGACTTCTGTATAGTTTGTCTTTACACTAGAGCTTGTGTGACTGCTGTGTCTTGCCTTACGCTCAATGCCCACAGAGGCTGCTGGGTTTGCTGTGAAGAAGGTTTTATGTGCAGTGCAAGAATTCAATTTAGTTTTGTATAGCACCAATTCACAACAACAAGAACTTTACAAAATTGTTGATTCACCAACAGATCAGAGAATCTAACAGCTCAAACAAAGGAAATGTAATAACAAACACATTGGTCCATAGGGAGTGGGACGACCATGGTCCAGAAATGTTCTGGATTATCACTGGAAAAGAAGTAAGAAACCTCTGGCAGGCCCACATTGAAAGAGGCTCCCATGGATCCAGGACTCAGGCTGTTGAACGAGGACTGAGGCTGTGCTCTCAAGCAGTGAGGGGGTGCAGCCCACAAGTCCAGGCCAGGGGAGACCAGTCCACAGGTGCAGATGAGAGGGTCAGATTCATGAGTCCCATCAGCATAATAATAATATAAAGAATATTATTATCAGCACGCTAGGAAACAAACAGCACATTCAAATTATTTACAATACTAATGTTGACCTAAAATTTCATTGTAACGAGTTCTTGTGATTGTATGGTAGATTTTTGTAAACTTTTCATACATTTGAACTATGTATGTAATTACCTAAAAGAATAATATGAGGCTCTGTCTCCTACATAGACAGTAACCGTATAAGAGTTAAATAAAATACACTTCAGATAAACTGTAGCACCCTCAGGAAAGGAAATGGCATGAGAAGGAGTTAGGAACCCATTGAACCTGTGAGAACTGCTCACAAAAAGGAATCACATACAAAAATATATTAGAATACATTTGTCTGTATATGAAAATAAAAGTAAACAAAATAGAAAACGAACCTGTGAGCTGACTTCCACATGAGGCTAATTGCTCATCTCTGCCGCAAATACACTGCTTTTGTCTCAATAGCTACTTAAATACACAATATACAATAATAACGTTCTAAATGTTTCTAAAATGGAAACCCTTTTAGTCCCCCTGGACTGCCACCTTAACGTGGTGGGGGAGTTTGAGTACTAAATATAAATAAGTAACAATGCTGTTCAGACAGATTCTCTGACATGTTTCCTCCATGGAGCTCTCCAGTGCATAGGAAGAAGAATTGAATACATTGATGAGACAGAACCACTGTGGTAAGACCTTAGGGCACTGTGCAGAAACCATAGACTGTAAAAAAAAAAAAAAAACAACAACAAAACATACACACACAGTGCCCTCAGTGACAAAAAAATATTAGGCGAACATCAGAAGAGGGCGCTAAATCCTCATTTGCCGGGATTTGACGTGCATAAAAATCTGAGGTCAATGCGATTCTATGGTGCGAACGGGGTCGTGATGAATGAGCTGCTTTTGGTGTTGCGCAGGGATAGGAGCAGCAGA